TGTTTTTAAAAACTTGTGTGAGTTAGTCAAATTTAACCATTTGGTCTTAATATCTTACATAAATTTTTGCTATTTTTTAAATCTATTCATTTAAAATATAGAAAACACTTTAGAAACGAAAAAGTATTCTATCAAGTCACTATTTTATACATACTTATGTGTTTAAGATTTACTGATTTCATATGGTGAAGTGTTGGTTGAATTCTGAAGAAGTAAAGGCTTTATTTTTGCATTTTTTGCCAAAGTCTTAAAGCAGTAACTCATTATATCTTATGGAAAATAATTGAAAACATGGCAGATTGATGGCTTTCTGTCTCTACAATTTCTAGAGCCAAAAGGACTCTAAGTAATCATTTTGGAAAACATATTAAATAGAATATATTCAGTTAGACTAGTAATTCTGGAAGAAAATTATCAAAAAGTAGGTATTTAAAATGGAACTATTTTGAAAACTGGTTATAATGGGTACATTGGTTTCTTATGAATAAATATTGAGCTATATCAGTAGCTATAGAATTTCATAGAGACCATATATGAAACTTGCAAATCCACAATCAACTCTTTTTAAATGGTTGTAAACTTAACTAGTTTATGATGAAATCATTTCTGACTTTTCATGCTGCCTTGTTTTCCAAAGATTAATAAAATGGAATGGAGATTTCTGCTAACCGGTGGCATTGGACTGGATAATCCTCATGCCAACCCTTGTACATGGCTTCCTCAAAAATCTTGGGATGAAATATGTCGATTAGATGATTTACCTGCCTTCAAAACCATTCGCAAGGAGTTTATGCACTTAAAGGATGGATGGAAAAAAGTTTATGATAGTTTGGTATGTTTTAACTCTTACTTATTCCAAAGTTTTTAAATGGAGGAAATAAGATTAAATAATTTATCTTTGATATCTTTGCATAAAAGCAAGATTTAAATGAGCTTAAAACAGCTGGTCAGATGTTAAAATGCAAGTTTTGATTTATGTCATCCTAAGTCAATGGTTCTATTCAAACTTCTATTCAAACCCCTTGAAATCTATTAAGGTGCAAAAAAGCTGCATGGTCCTTAAAAATATTCTTGTTGAATTTCTGTGCCAGCTTTTTATTCATTGTCAATTTAGATTTGGTAATCCTAATAGTAGATGAGCTAAAATTTTACAAAAGAGCCATTGTTTTGATTTTTTGAATGTAGGATACAAGCTAATAAATATTTTTGTCATTTGAGGAAAGGAAAAAGCTAGTACAATAGTTCTGAAACAATTTTCATGAGACCTTGTCTTGCTAACTGGACACTGTTATAATTGACACATAACATAATACTCATAGTTTCCCTTCTGGGATATATATATAGCAATTGCTGTTTTCCCTCAACTTTTCTTTAGCACAAGGGCTAATATTTTTCCAATTCCTAGTTCATTTTTTCTATTCCTTCATTTCTACTCTCTTGACTTTTTGTTTTCTATGGGTTTAATATGCAAGAGCTCTGTTTGGAGAAAGTTAGAGGAGGAGAGAAAAAAATGAGCATTTTTTATTTGGTTAATCTATATTTCATTTGGTTACCTACTTGTATTATATGCGATAGTGAGATTGTGTCTTCACAGGAATTCAGATATCTGGAAGGGATGTCTTTGGATTTCTCCCTGTTAGTAATAAAAATGTTTCCTAGAGACAAATATGTTTTTGTGAGTACTTCATTCTAATTTAAAATCGAAATTTTATTCACTACGATGAAGCATAGAGATTTCTGATTCGGGATACCACATAGCTTTCCCTGAAGTTTCAAAGGTATACATGGCCCCTATTTTTCAAGGTTTACCCCTCCCCCTAGGATACTGATGCCTCTCTTGTTGTACATTTTTAATAGATCTCTCTCTGTTGGATTCTTCTTTACTTATATACATTTTTGAATTTCCCTATATAAAAAAAGATTTTAAAAATTGTTCAAAACAAGACATAACACTTAATAAATTTCAGTACAATGCCCTTCCTACTTCTTTTGTAGTAAATAATTATTTTTATAAGTAGATGACGAGAGAAGTGGGTAGATGTTTGGAGAAATAATGGGAAAACAGTCCTATATGCACATTTACTTTTTTCATAGTCGGGATTATTCTTTTGTCTTTTAATTAGTGTTCAATTGACATTAACCTGCTTAGTTCATGTCCTAGTTTTTTTAACTTTAAGGTGTTTTAAATTTTCTTCTCATTACTCACTTCATAATTTGTCCTGACTTTACACTAACTAATAAAATTTATACAAGCATTTTTTATTTCATTTAGTTATATGTTTTCCCTAAAAATTGGTTTATAAGTCAAAATACTGTTCTTTCTGGAAATAATCTCCAAAATAATACTGAATTATGTACACTGTCATTTTAGGAACCACACCATGAAGTTTTCCCTGAAGAATGGGAAGATAAAGCAAATGAGTTTCAAAGGATGCTTATTATTCGTTGCTTGAGGCCAGACAAGGTAAATGTGTGCTTTGAAAGCAGCTCAATGATTCGAGACCCTCCTCTCTGCACAGTCCAGCCCAACATGTGCTTCCTTGTGTAATCATAGGGAAGTGGAGAAACCTGCAGGAAATAACCCCATTTCCTTCTAATGCAGCCATTTTTCCAAAGCTTGTACATTTATTAAAACCGTTCCAAATTAGTAACCAATCAGATTATATTTTAGAGTTTTGTTTTGTGATTATTCTTTTTAATTTATGGCTCCCATTACTCACAGTCTACTCCCTTTACATGCTATAGTCTCATTTTTATTCTTATCACTTTCATGAAATTAGTTAATGGTGTTAACATCAAGCTGATAAACTAGAATCTTTGGACTATTCGAGTAATGTCCTTATATATAGCTCTTTGTTGGAATTTGGAAACCAAGTGAAATATTACTTTAAAGACATTCGTTGTTGTTGACAACAAAGGAAAATATCAATATTATTACTTTTAACTTTTAGATAATAAATTGTAAAACCAACAAATAGCAGACCTGTTACATCAGCATATTTCAATACTCGTCAATATCCTCATTGGTATTATATTCCTTTTTCTTTTTGACAGGGTTTCACTCTGTTGCCCAGGCTGGAGGGCAGTGGTACCATCATAACTCACTGCAACCTCAAACTCCTGGGTTCAAGTGATCCTCCTGCCTCAGCCTCCCAAGTAGCTGGAGCTACAGGTGCAGGCCACAAAGCCAGGCTAATTTTTTAATGTTTTTATGGAGACAGGATCCCACTACGTTGCCCAGGCTGGTCTTGAATTCCTGGGCTTATGTGGTCCTCCCACCTTGGCCTCCCAAAGTGCTGGGATTACAGGTGTGAGCCACTGTGCTTGGCCTTGTGTTATATACTATTAAAAAAATCCACCTGAGTGTATTGACCGATATCCACAATGATGTCAAAATACTCTGAAAAATATAGACATTAGATATTTGGGGGGGGGGGGAATTGAGAAAATATCCTAGTCCTCCATTGTTACTACTCAAAAGTTTTATGTAAATATTTCAAATCTTACTGTATTCACAGTTTCATTTGTTATTACTAGAAGACAATACCTCCATCCCCACCCAAAATAAAAGCAGAACTTAGATAATGAAAGCAATAAATTTTTTAAAAATTTGTATGCACATCAGTGATAACATGGAGTAGAGGCACCTTTTCCTCTGTGAGCCGTAGTCTGTTCAATGAACACGGGTAATTCTTGCTGGTCTTGGCAGTCCATTCTTGCAGTAGGCACAGCGCCTGGGGCCCACGATAATTTTAGGGGCCCATGAAAATGTTTTAATTTCTTTTAAAATCAAAAGAATATAATCCAGTGTATATTATATTTGTCTTTATACCACAACAATTGTAAAATATAATTTTAAGTATTTTTTATGGTGAAGGGGCCTAGGGCCCATGAAAGCTACCCTGCTCTCAGGTGCTGGAAGTAACTATAGTTATTTAGCATTCATGATGAACCTGATAAAACATCCTCACTCCGCTTTTAAAAAATGAATCTCCATTAAAACTTTAGTGTGAAGCCTCAGAAGTTTTCATTTCAAGTATTAAAGATGGGAGAATATGAAGTGCTTCAAACTCTTGCTTTCTCCTGTCAAATTTTTTATTAAATTTTCAGTTTTCCACTTTGTTTTCTAAGCTAAATAAAGACTATTATACTATAATAAAATGGCTCTCCATGTACCACACCTTTCCCCCTCAATATCTGAAAAAAAAGAAGCTTCCATTCATGTTTTATATTAAGTTTAATTAAAAGTGATTAATGAGCCATTTCCTAATTGCAGCAGTTTCATCTGCAAATATCTCTTCCCGAGTTTTATGTTTTTAAAGATTTGACACTTTAATCTGAAAATACATCAAACTGTCAAATAGATCAAATCTTACTTTCCACATGCATTCTCTTTTTAAAGTCTATTTGAGGGAGGTGGAGAGTTACATATTCAAGCTGAGGTGTTTGGGGATTTTTTGTTTTTTGGTTTATATCTTTTTTGTCTGTTTTTACATCAAAGGAGATTAAATATGGCTTTATACTTCTCTCAGCTACTCTGCCTAATAATTTAGCACTCTGTCTTTTAATTTTTTCATGTATATTTACAAATTTCCTCTAGGATTTTTCCATTTTCCTTGGATAGATAGACAAGTGTGTGGACAATGCTACTCATCAATATTTCTGGTTCTCCTCCCCTTCTGCGCACACTCGAAGTTGGGAGGTGGAGAGGGTTGTGCGCACAGATCTTGCTTTGACCAATAACATGTGAGCAGAAATGTCAGGGCAGAAGCATTTAACAGCCAGTGTGAGATTCTCCAAGGCGCTCTCTCTGCCATCAAAATTGTGGAATCATGAGTTGCCACAAGCAGGCTTGATTGCTGAGCCAGAACATGGAGAGTTAGTTGCCTGCAGGGATAAGAAGTAAGCTTCCATTGTGTTTAGCCACTGCAATTTGGAAATGGGTTGCTATTGCAGCTAACCTCAGTTTATCTTAAGTGATTCAATTAACTAGCTATCGTTAGCTGCACACCTTCACACCCATATCCTTAGTGTAAAAATAATTATTCATATGCTATTATATTATCTAGCAACTTCAAACCCTTTAATTTTACTGTTACCAGGTACTACAATTTCTATTGGTGAATTGGTGATTTTGGAATCTGTATATGATAAAATGATATATGACTATCATGCTTTTAAAAGACTGGTTTTCCAAAGTAGAATGGTATTAGCATACCAAGGAAAGGAATGGAGCTATATGGGACTAATATTTGAGCTAGTACTCTATGCCATCTCTAAGTCAAGAGATAATCTGCATATCCACCAGGAAAATCAGCAATTCATTGATCTCTAGTTTCCAGCAGACTTTGTCAGCACGATTTTTTTGATGTGAACATCTCCTTTCCCCCTCCCAAGTGCCCCCCACCCCAAAACCAGCCCCACTCAGTGGTAAGAAGCCACAAATGCTAAGTTCTTTAATGCTGTAGTTCCGAAAAATGTAAAAGTTTCTCACTAAATCACCAGTAGGAAAAATGAGATGGGCTTGTACTTTCCTTTAGAATTCAATAGTGTATAGTGTTTTATTGACAAAAGAAACATATCAAATGGATAAATAATAAGATGTGGAATGTTCTGAGTCTATTTACAAAATGAAAAGCTTCTGGCCACAGTTCTCTCTTTCTGAACTGTAAATAAACAGCAAATTAATCAGCTTTCAATAAGAAACTTGTCAAATATAAGTTAATATGTTTTTCTGTCCTCAAATAAATCCTATTGGAACTTGTAATAAATAGTAAAACATACACAAAAGACCACAAACTTCTCTCCTGCCATTGGGAAGATGGTTGCCTAAATTAGTCTGTAATTTTTGTTACTGACAGATTTCATTTTACAGAACTAACACTGGCATAATCAGATCGCAGAGGCACGCCCAATGCTATTGCTTTGCAAACTGGATGGCTAACACAGCTTCATTTACCTTGGGAGTTACAGTTTAGTCTTCGGAGCAAACAAGTTTTGTTCGGCTGTAACATTAAGAGTGAAACATTACAGTTTGTCTCTGCTCACTCTCAGGTGAGCATCTTGATCCTCCAATGCTAAGACAGAAGAATCACTCCGCCCTGCCAGCCACGTGCGCCTGTGCGCAGCGACTGACACCAGCTTGACCCACTCACAAAGGCAGGGCCACATATAACTCAAACTTACTACAACTAAAACCATGCACTTAAAATCTATGTGCTTTTCATTTTGTTTGTAAAACTATAATTTAGTGATGTTAGCCTTGGGAGGAAGGAGGTTATGAAAAAAGTGGCATTTTTATGTTAGCGTTTTTTTAATCTAGCAAGAAAGACCAACTAAAGGAAAAAAATAAGAGAGGGGCAGGGACAAGGCCTGCGACAGCAGTTAGGATATTTTTAGTTTTCCTGCAAGAAGTTTGACATCTGCTACCATTCAAAATATCCGAAACATGAAATACCTTATCTAGCAATGAAACTTTAAGTATAGATGAATTTATTATTCTATGATTTTTATTTGGAATTTCTGTAATTAGAATCCCATCCTCACAAAAGTAAGCATCCTGAGTTTTTAATCCCTTTTCTTATTCAGTGGATATTTGTTGTGCAGGGACAATACATGAGTCACCTTGTTAGGTAGATCCTTGCGTCATGGCACTTATTTCTTACTCATCCATACCTTTTCCATATTTGAATGAATCTAGAAAAATATTGGGAGGGATTCAAAAAACTAATTTAGATCCAGATATTCCTTTACTGGCTCTTAGCTCCCCACCCTAACACCCTCAGTCTCACACACACACACACACACACACACACACACACACACACACACACCAAGATTGATACTTTTTTAAAGGCATTGTGATGTGTCAATAATTTTTACTAATAAATCTTGTGTAAATAGATGTTTTATAGGCTATACGATTGAAGTTTAGAAATACTTGTAACTTTTTCCAGAGGAGGCCATCTTTTTGAGATACTTGGCACCTGCAAATTATTCCTGCAGTTTGCTTCAAGTTGAGAAAAGTGGCAGGCTGGTGGAATTGTCAGCATAATTTGAAGTGTTGTGTATTGACACAATTCTGTCCTCATATATGAGCAGGTATTCATTGAGTGCTTCAAAAAATATTTTCCGTTACTTCTTTTCCTGAAATATCCCTTGTTCCCTTCTAAAGTTGGTAAGTTTTGATAGTCTCTTTCCTACTAGGATTTTTATCTTAAACTTTAAGGTAGTCTTCGCAATGTTCTGTGAAGGGGGATTAATTAATTTACAAGAGTTCGAGATTAAGAAATGGAGAGCGAGTATTTATTACTTAAATTTTTGTGCATATGTATATATTTCAGAGCAGGAGAAAGAGTATATTTGGTAGTTAATACTTAAGAGACAAATTGAAGTTAGATAATTATCTTAGTCTGTTTTGTGTTGCTATAAGAGGGTGGATAATTTATAAAGAAAAAAGATTCATTTAGCTCATGGTTCTGCAGGCTGGAAAGTACAAGAAGCATGGTGCCAGCATCTGCTTGGCTTCTGGTGAGGGCTTTTGTGCTACATCACAACGTAGTGAAAGGTCAAAGGGGAAGCGGATACATAGGAAGGGGCAAAACCCAAGGGACACTCTGACTTTTTAACAACCCATTCCTGTGGGTACATTCCTCTGAGAACTAATCCAGTCTCACAAGAGCAAAAACTTGCTACCACAAGAAGGGCACTAAGCCATTCATAAAGGGTCTGCCCCCACCCCCTCGCCGTGACCCCAACACCTTCCATTGGGCCCCACCTCCTAACACTGCCTTTTTGGAGATTAAATTTCAAGATGAGTTTGGGTGGGGACAAACTCAAACCATAGCAATAATCAACAAATTTTGTTCATAATGTTGTCTACATGTACATTTGTAGCTATTTATTGCCAAAGTGAATATAAATTTCAGTCATGGCAAGTGGATAAAATAAAAGATATATAATTTTTACTCTAAAGGAGCCATTTAAAATAAGTTAATTTAGTATTTTTTTTCTTTTTTTATTTTTATTTCAGGGTATTATGAGGGTACAAACATTTTGGTTACATTTTATGTCTTTGCCTCACCCAAGCAAGGGTTAGAGGCATGCCCTTCTCCTCTACAATGCTCACCGTGTCCTTAAGTTGTGAGTTTACCCCCCCATCGCCCTAATCCCTGGAGAATATTACTGCCAAGTGAGCACCATAGTGTTCATCAGTTAGTGCCAGTCTGATGGCGAGTACAAGTGGATCCCATTCTTCCGATCTTGTGATACCTCACTTTGGATAATAGGCTCAAGTTCAATCCAGGAAAGTATAAGAGGTGCTAGATCACGGTCGTTTCTTATAATTGAGTAATAGTCCATTGTATACATATACCAAATTTTAATAATGCACTCATGAATATAAGTTAATTTAGTATTTGAATACATTAACATGGTGTTGCTAATTCAGCTTGGTTGTCTTGTATTCAAAGCAGAAAATTCGGAGCAAAGAAAGCCTAAAAATGCTTTCAAGGGGTCGAGTGCTATATTAGTCAAATGCAGGGGCTCCTTTTCAACTTCACTTTTCAAGTGTGTGTCAGCAATTCTTACAAAGTCGGGCGGGAGACATTGCCAGCTGGCTCACATATCCGTGCCTCAGAGACATCAAACAAATGTTTTGACTCCTTCATTAAGTGTGGCAGAAATCTAAACAATGTTGTGAATTAATTTACTCAGCATAAAACTTAACTCTCTTATTTTCCTGGAGAAAGATCAATTGATATCTATGTTTTCACCTATTAAAAAAAGTCTCAATGTGAAAATCACAAGTAAATCTAGGAGCAAGGCACAGGAGAAAATAACATAGGAAAGAAGAATGCACTTGTGTCTCACTTAATTTTCTCTTCTCCTTTTCTTTCTTCAAATCTACACATCTTTTTGCTATTATGCTTTTCTCTCTCCATATCCAACTACTTTTATACTGACAAGGCAAATTGAGGCTGAGCACGTTTCAAAGTTTTTTTGAGCTCCTTAATGAGGGAGCCAGAGGAAAGAAGAAAGAGCAGGCAAAAACAAAGACTGTTGGAGGAGGAGGAGTTTATATAGTTAGAAGGAGAAATGTTTGCACAATCTGTCAAACTACATACAGGGATACTGGTTTGTTAAACCTACTTTCATCATTCGTTGGGGTTGCACCTGGGTCATGAATAGCTGGCGCCATCGCCCAAGGATGCCGGGTGTAGACCTTTCATCGGAAAGAAGGAATGATGTGTCTCTAATGCTGATTTATGCGATATCCACTCCCACATCAATGCCTTAAAAGGATCGAGTAGCAGGGACACCAAGCCACAGAGTTCTGGTCATTCTTAAACAGGCTCCCAGAAAATTCTCAGGCATGCTATCAGAAATTCTATTTCCTGAGTGTATGGTTTGTTTCTCTTTCACAGAGCTTTTCCTTTTCTTCTTTTATCCCCTACTACATCAATTCTTTCTTGATAGTATGGGAAAGTTTGTATAACTTACACTGAAATTTCTACATTTGAGTTGTGGAATTTTGGAACATAATCAGTGGTTTAAAACTTAAGAGTTCAGGTTTCTTATCTTCTTCATCTGCTATGTCTTGAATATTCATTCCAAGGAAGAAAAAAGCCTTTGAATTCTGATGTCAATTACTGCCCACCTTTTATTATTTAAGTAATTTGCAATTTTTTCTATCTAAAAGGCATTTACATAAACAGTGATGCCTTTGACTCTCCACCACTAATAAACACCTAAAGAAATATAACTAGAGCCCTTTTTTCAAAAATATTTTTGAATCTCAACTTTTTAAGGTTTTAGGCAGATTTTGAACATTCTTTCAAATATATTCTTGTCCCTTTCTAGGTTATTCCAATGGTGCAAGAGTTTATAACCAACAAATTGGGGCGTATATTCATTGAACCACCCCCCTTTGATTTATCCAAAGCATTTGGAGACAGTAACTGCTGTGCGCCACTGATTTTTGTGCTCTCTCCTGGAGCGGATCCCATGGCTGCCCTTCTCAAATTTGCTGATGACCAGGTACTTTACAACAGATGAAGTTATCTGATACTATTTTTTTACAGAAATATTTGCTTGCAATTGAAGTCTTAAGGAGTGAGGAAAAGGTAAAAATTTGTTACTAAGCCCTTGAAAATCTTGGTGGTCCAGATGTTCCAAAGTCCTAAGAACATGATACTTACATGGCAGCTGACATTAAAAATAGCTCCTTCTCCAAATTATAAAACCGGAATTTGGATTTAAGGGGCATTTGCTTTTCATTTATTGAGGAGAAGGCGTCATCATTTGCACCAGTGTATGAGCTTGGGTTTTAATTTATTTAGTAAATTCAAGCCTGGACAATGACCCCAGGATGAACCTTTTCTGATCCTGCCCCTCTTTCAGTCTCCAAAGAGGGGCCTTCTTTGACTTTCCAGAACAATTATACATTACACTCTCTTTACCAGATTTTAGAATATGTTCTACTATTTACATTCCTAGGCTTTAAACATTATTCAAATGAATTCACCATGTGTGTTCTTATATCATACAGTCTAGAACAAGAAAATAGTAATAAACAGATTAGGCATTTCTGAGTTGATTATCACCCCTTTTGGTATAATTAAAATAACATTTTACTCTCTTCCATACTTGAGGGAGTAAAAAAAAAATTTTTTTTAAATAACATTTTGGGGTAATACTACTGATATTTCTAAAACCACCACCACCACTTTTATGGAGTGCTTAATTATACTGTTAATTCTGCCAGACCTTGTTATATACATTTTCTCTTTTAATTTTTACAGCAATCCTATGAGGTAAATGGTGGTATCTCCATTTTATAGATATGGACACTAAAGCTTGGAGAAGTTAAGTAGCTTCTCAAAGGACACCTAGCTAATAGGCTAAAGTACTCTTTGCTAGGCCAAAACAGTTGATAAAAGGAATAAAAAAATTAAGAAGTCTTTTAATATAAGGAAAAGATGAAAGGGATCAGCTGTCTTGTAGAAACTTCTAAAAATACAAAGCTGGACAGAAAACTATGAATAGACAGATGAATTTGTCCTATTTCCTCCAGATCTTTGAGTAACTATATTTTAAGTTAGTAAAATATAGTTATAAGTTATATATTTTTGCATAAGTGTAGCTCTTATATGCTGGAGGATTGATTGTCTGACATAGCACTTACTATTTGTTAAAGAAGTGTTAGAACATGCTCATGGTGACTGGAGGAGATGAGGGCTGAGATGTGTGAGGGACCAGATCATGCAGGGTCTTTGTAGGCTGCTTTAAGAACTTTGAGTAAGATGAGAAGATGGAGGAGGGTTTTAAGCAACATAGTGACATGACCCAACCTATATTTGATAACGCTCACCCTAGTTGAAGTGTGGAGAATTGCTTTGAGTGGCACAAAATGGAAGCAGGCCGTCAGTTAGAGAGGCTGTTGAAAGTCCGGGAAGAGCAGTGCTGGGTAGGACTAAAGTGGAAGTGGTGGAGGTGTCTCAAAGTATTAATTTTATGTGAGACTCACCTTTCCAAATTGACACAACCCTGATAACCCTTTGAACCCTTCCTGATTCCTCTTTATGTCCCTCCCCACGTTATGCAATGTGCTTACTCTCTGGCCCCTGTGTGGGTCCTGCTCAGTGCATTGTCTTCACTTGCTAGCTCCACTTTTTCCAGAAACAGTAGTATCTAGCTCTGTTTTGTTTTCTGCTGCTTCTACCTGCTAGTGACCCTAGGGCCTGAGACCCTACTGTTCCACTGCTGCCATCACCCAAGTCCTCTTCCAGGGAGGCAGTCTGGTGACATCTACCCTAGAAAGAAGGAGAACCAAAAGCCACAGATGAATCAGGATATAATAAAATAGAACTGAATTCCAGGAAAACATCCCCACAGAATCCTTTAAAGAAATTTACATGGGAATTAGCGGCCAATTTTTTAATTCTCTTAATTTTATGCAGTAGCCAAATTAATTAAAATATTCAAAGATCTGGAGGAAATCGGACAGGTTCTTCTCTCTATTCATAGTTTTCCTTTCAGCTTTGGGCTTTTAGGAGTTGCAAGACAGTCAATCCCCTTCATCTCCTCCTTATGTTAAAAGTCTTAATTTTTTTCTCTCGCTTACATCAACAAACAAAGATTCTACAGATTTTCTCATTTATTGCCATAATTGTTTTCTACATGAATTGACTGCTTTTTATCTAAGCTTTTGTAGGATTCTTAGTCAATAGGAGTTTTTTAGGGCTGTGTATGTTTGGACCTTTGAGGGATCCTATGTAATTAAATTTTAATATAGTTAATGTTAATATTTCTTGTAATAACAATATCGATTCTTCTAAAAATGTGATTTAAAATAACATCTTTACTATTCTTGTACACAGGGGTATGGGGGATCAAAACTTAGCTCTTTATCTCTCGGTCAAGGCCAAGGGCCCATTGCAATGAAGATGTTAGAAAAAGCTGTCAAGGAAGGAACATGGGTTGTTCTTCAGAACTGTCACCTTGCCACCTCTTGGATGCCAACCCTTGAGAAAGTTTGTGAGGTAAAAATGCAAGTTTATATTTACTAGATTGTATTCCCTACTTAATTAGTGAAATATATGTTAACATCTAAGTGACGCCACTCCTGTCCTCTAATTTGGAGGGTTGCGGGTTAGTGGCGTGGCTGGATTGCAGGAGAGATGGGCTCACGTTGAGAACTGTATCTGAAGGAACTAAGGAGGGGCACACAGTCAGGCTGTGGCAAATCCCTCTTAAAAGGGGCAAGGGCTCATCCAGTGAGGTGGAACTATCCTTAATCCAGAGCAGCAGGCTCAAGGATGAGAGTAAACCGCAGGATAGACACAAACCAGTTTACTTTTTACAGCAGTGGACCAAAAGCAGCAAAGGAGACTGTTGAAGGTGAAATTCATGTGACCACTCTGAAAGGGCTTTGGAATGTACCTTTTCTTTAACTCACTTCTCATCCACTTGGCGAGTTACCGCCACAGAGGATCCGTCTGAAACCCCAAGGGTGCTGCTCCCACCCTCCTTGCAGAGGGTCATGGAGCTTCCCTAATTTGGTGAGCAGAAATTCCAGGAAAAAAACTCCACGTAGCTCCACTGAGTAAACAGAAAACCTGGCACTAGATTTCAGTAAACACGGGAAAACGTATCCTCTGAATTACCCATGACTCTAGCCCCCTTCCAGCTCTCTTCTCAGAGTCCCTCAAGCTCTGTCATAACCACGGTAATGATAGAACTTGTACCGTCCAGCCATTCAACAGAGACTTCAAGGGATGATTGTTTTGCTCTTTTCTTTATCACTGCTTTGTTTTGCCTGTATCTCCCACGTAAGCTCCATGAAGACAGTGACTTTGTCTTAATCTGTTATATTCTCTGCCTTGTCTCCAGTACCTTGAATAGTGTGGCCCATTGGAGACAATCAGTAAATATTTATTGAATTAGATAATGAATCTATTGCTTTATTGCTGAAAACCCTTCAATGACCTCCCATTGCATGCAAGACAAAATTCAAACCCCCAACATGACTGGTGACACCCTTCATGATCTGACCCTTGCCTACCTCTCAAGTTTCTCTGGCCACTTCCCATCCTGACTTCCATGCTCCAGGCATTTGAACTTCTTGCACTTTTCATTGGTACAGCACGCTTTCTCAAGAATATAGGCCATCATCACAGACATTATTTCTGCCTGAAAAACTGTTCTTTCTTTTATTTTCCTTACCAACATCTCTTCATACTTTAGGCCTTATATTAGAGTTTTTATATTTGTGCCTGTCTCCTTACAGTTCTTCTGTCTCTAGGCCATTCTCATGACCTGGTGAATTGTATCATATACACCCATCACAGAGTCATATGAGAAAGAAAAGCTGTCCCCAGTGGGTAGTTGGGACTTGGCTCAGTGGCCCATTAATCATGTTGCTTACGTCACTAGACATAGAGGGCAGCAGGTAGGAGAAAAAAATGGTGCTTTCACCCACCATATTGTCATTAAAGAATGTACACACCTATGCATCCTTCCTAACTTACCCCCACTCCTTCACTGTAGGAATGCTCAAAAATTTTTTTGCTGATAAACATTTTCAATTTAAAGAAACATAGACAGCACTGACATGGACAATTGGGAGAAATAGCAGTGGGCAGTGGGATTCTACAGGAAGGGAGGAGGGCCCGTGGTAATTATTCCTGGGCTCCGTGCAGCCTGTGACAGTGCTGAATGACAGTCCTATTACCTTCTGTAGTCCAGGCCTATCTCCTTGAGCAAGTATAGCTAACAGTGGTAAGTTTTGATGCTTCAAGATACTCAACTTTTTCTCACCCTTTAAAATACTTTTTTAAAAATCCCTGCTTGGTTTAATATTGACTTATCTGAGTGCTTTGCTTATTTTCACAACTTGGCTATGGCAAGAAGAATAGATTAGTCTTAATCTAGCTCTGGGACAGAGAATTATTTCTGTAAATATTTTAGCAACATCACTGCAGATCCAAGAGTTTTTAGAATGTCAGTTATTTTGGCCAACTCTGAATTATATAACATCTTTGTAAAGTGTATAGTCTTATGAATTAATTTTTTTTGGGGGAGAATGACAACACTCTGAGACTTCTCAGTGAAGCATGTCGTTTTAGGGGCAGAATCAGATTTTAAGGCTTTTGCTGAAAATTGTGACAATTACATCTCTGCATTGTAGAAATGCTTCCTCCCCACTCCAGCCCTTGTGTGTATGCTCCGGAGATTTTCTCTGGGTTTTATTTACCCTTTTTTATCTCATTTATTTTCTTACAGGAGTTAAGCCCAGAATCAACACATCCTGATTTCCGCATTTGGCTGACAAGTTACCCATCCCCAAATTTCCCTGTGTCAGTCCTGCAGAATGGAGTGAAGATGACCAATGAAGCACCGAAAGGTTTACGGGCCAATATCATCCGCTCGTACCTCATGGACCCGATCTCTGACCCCGAGTTCTTTGGCAGCTGCAAAAAGCCTGTTAGTAATGGCTCCGTCTTGTTACCTCAGCCCTGTAAAGCGGTTCAAGTGGCCCCCGGTGATCACGGACGTGTGCGCTGAGCAAAACTGCAAATTAAATAGGCCTCTTGCACTGCAGCGCAGTTGGTTTTGATAACTGATTATTGACTGTGCTGAAGTCAAATTTTATTAATATTTTATTTTAATTTTACCACCAGCCTCATTCCTGCTCAGCTGAGATCTTATGGGGCGTCATTAATAATGGAGCTTTCTATTTGGAAAGTCAGCTGTAAGCCATTCCCAGTACAAATCTGCAAGGTTGGAGAATCTTGTTTCAGGATATTAACTGAGCCCTGTGCTGTTTGGAGCCATATCTCTAAATTAAATCATAAAAATATTTCCTCCATATAACTATAATGAGAGCCAAAATGATTTTACTCCTTGATTGATGGGACTCATAAGGGTCTTTTTTAGCATCACCAAGCAAGCAGGGAAACCACCCACTGCTTTCATGATTAGAATTCTGTGTGTGAATGTCTGTGACCTAAAATTGTTTCACAGTGTTTTACCATAATTAAAAATGGAAGAATTTCTTTTTAAGAGGGGTTATGAACCTTAGTAAGTTTTCGCCATTAAAAAGCTCACACTCTTGAAGTCTGAATATATTTAAAGTGCATATCAAAAGAAAACATTAAAAATAAAGAAGTACTTTCATTAAACAAAAGTGTTGGGTACTAAAAAAAAAAGTGCCTATATTTAAAACTAAGTCAAACGTTATCCTAAGGCTGCTTTTGCATTGATTAGGCCCAGAGAAAGCAGATTACTCCCAGAGAGATGGTGAGGGCATTTCTGCATATGAGAGGCTGGACAGAGCCCCTTTGCAAAATTTAACTCAACCCTCCCTTTCTTCTAGATCAAAAGGTCTCTCCAGCAGTAGTCACATATGTTAGAGGTCTAGGCATTTATGAGACACAGTCCAAACCCAAACCAAAATCTCATTAAATGCCAAAGCAGCACGTCATAATTTTTCTGTTTTAACTTTTTATTTGGAAATAATTTTAAATTTATAGAAAAGTTGTAAGCATAGAAATAGTACAAGCAACACCCCATACCCTTTATCCACAATCACTTCCTAATATTAGGATGATATTTTATCCCATCAGTTTTATTTGCGTCCCCCTCCTGCTCCCTGTCCCCCCATCCCTCTCTTTCTCTACGCACAATCCAGTTGCAGGCGAGTTAGATGTATCGTATCCCTTTATCTGTAAGTACGTTGGTGCCTGTTTCCTAAGAATAGGGGTAGGGATATTATGTTATCCTGGTATAGTTACTATTTTTAGTAAATGTAACAAGGATATGCTATTTTATCTAATCTATACTGCTTGTGTTCCAATATCATCAGTTGTGTGGTAATATCCATTGTGTCCTTCAGACCATTTTCCCTGTCCGTGATAGCATTGGCCCCGGGTTTGGCATTACATTTAGTTGTCATGTCTCTTTTGCCTCCTTTAACCTGGAACATTTCCCCAGCCTTTCTTTGTCTTTTATAACATCGACTTCTCTGAAAAACTCATCTCCTCCTGGTTTTTTTAGATGGGATATTTCTCATTTTGTGTTTGATATTTTCTCATGATGAGATTCAGGTTATTTATTCTTAGCCAAAATGCTGCATAGGTGTATGTCCTCCAAGAGCACATCTGGAGGCACGTGATGCCCATTTGTCCCTCACTGGTGATATGATGATACTAATTTTGGTCACCTGGATAAGGTGTTCACTGATATCTTCACTGTATAATAACTGTTTTCCCCTTGCAACTAACAACTAGTCTGTAGGGAGGTATTTTAGGACCATGCAAGTTTCCTGTTCCTCATCAAAATCCACCCCCATCCAGATTCAGTATCTATTGATGATTCTTGTCTGATCCAGGTATTCCTGGGATGATTGCAAAATGATTATCTCCCAACGCCAGCACTCCCTCTGCATGGACACTTGGCACTCTACTGTCAGCAACGTCTCTCCCTTCTCCCCCATTTGTTAATCTATTAATTGATATGGACTTATGAATTCTTGAGGTTTTTTCTCTAATAGTTTACAATTAATTATTATCCTGAAGGCTTTCAGTGCTCAAATTCTTCCAGATTTGGTCAATGGGAGCTCCTTCAAACTGGTTCCTCTGTACTTGTTATAGGTCCTATCTTTTTTAAAAACTCTATTATTATTATTATTAGCACCTCTTACTTTCTGGCATAAGATGTTCCAGGCTCATCTTGTACCTATCTTGCCTCAGTCCTTGAACCAGCCATTTCTCTGAAGAGCCCTGTTTCATTTAATGGAGAGTAGTATTAGAGATCACTTTCTGGGTGTTAGATGAGCTCCTGCATCACCTTTGGTTCTTGACCCTTTCAGTAGAGAGCACTTGGAAATATGTACAAGTACACACACATATACAAATATGCAAATATGTGTCCACACATACACCTACACACAAACTAGTACATATACACATATGTACTCATATATATATTTTTAGAGTGATGAATTCATACCAATACCTCCAATTTCAGTTGTCTTCTCAGGGTTCTTTCTTTCTTTTCCTCATTCCATATTTGTATGTCCGTTCTTTTATGAGAAACCTGGCTTCCAACAATATCAACACATTTACTGATTTTCTCAGTTATCTAATATATATCTAAAATAGTTCCAGAATTAGCCCAGCATGTTTAACTTTAATTCTCCTATGTCTGTGATTAAATTTGTATCACTTTTGTTTTGTTTCCCATTCTCCCTTTCATATTTATTCCACCAGAAAAACTTTTCCTCAGCTCTTGGATAAATCTTTGGGCACCTCTATGACTTTTCTGTTTACTGATAAGTAATAAAATGCCTCATAGTTACTTTAAATTGCAAAGCTAGCCTTGATTCAGAAATCAGGAAGTATAATTAATTAATCATTACTTGAACTTTTACTCAAAATTTAGGTTTCACTCCCCAGTATCTCACCTAGGGCATATAGTCGGTGAGCTTCATGCCATCAGAGGAAGAAGATGGAGTTGACATCTTTCTTTTTGTAATTTCTCCTGCACTTGACAGCTGCTGACATTGCCCACTCAGTTCGGACCATGTGCAAGGATGAGGGGTGGAGGGGCAGGGAGTCCTGTTCTGGCCTGGTATTGCTTGTCACTTTCTGGACTTGGCCAGGGTTGAAGATGACCCTCACTTTTTCTCTTGTGAGCTCTTTCATGGGTTCTCCTTAGCCTACCCTGCTGGACTCCTCTGGCTGTGACCCTGTCACTCTCAGCATTGCCTCTCCTTTAGGTGGCTGCTCCCCTTGCCTTCAGGTTCTCCAGCATTCCCTTCATACAGACTCTTATGGTTGGGGTTGCCTCAGCCCCTGGCAGTAGTCGTCTTGAACAGGACACCTTGAAAATGACCCTGGCTGCCATGTCTAGCCCACACTCCCCTTCTGCTCTTTGGGATTCCCACTAATGGGCCCACCTTGGAGGATGTGGCGATTGCCCTTTCATTCTTCTCCCTGCAGCCATCGACTGGTCTGCTTTTTTAGGCATAAGTTTTGAACTTTTCCACCCTGCTTCAGCTGCAGGGAACATGTGTCAACTCTCTGAATGGCCCCATTAATTCCTTTGCACTGCCTTGAACCACGAAGGTAGATCTTACACACTCTTCTCCCTTGAGGGTGCAGGAAGGGGACTCCCAGCACAGCAGCTGCTCTCTCCAAGGAAATTGCTTCACAAATCCTCTCTCAAGCTCTATTTTGATTATTTTATATTCTCCTTTTGGATTTTAGAGCTAATTGATTCAAATTGTCTTTTTCGAAATTTGTGCATAGTGGTCTAATTTGTAAGGTAACGTTAAATTAGATGATGCTTCCTAAAAACCTGGTGTACACAGCTATGTGTGCCAACTGAATGTGTATGCCGATCGGTGTATTTTTGCCTGAAGAGCCTATAGAAATATACTTAATTCTGTTTTAGTTATACTTTGGGATGAATCTATCCCTGTGCTATTTATAAACAAAAAGAATTTAGTTATTTTCACTTTAAAATATGGTAAATATAATGCAGTGTTAGGGGAAAAATAATGATGTGGCACCATTTCTTCTCATTACAGGAGGAATTTAAGAAATTGCTTTATGGCCTCTGTTTCTTTCATGCTTTGGTACAAGAGAGACGGAAATTTGGACCCCTGGGGTGGAATATTCCTTATGAGTTCAATGAGACTGATCTAAGAATCAGTGTACAGCAACTTCACATGTTCCTGAACCAGTATGAGGTACCATAAAAATCACAGCAAGGACATTACCTACTTTGCTCTTTATCATGTTGTGTTTATACCATAACAGGGACTTAAGATTAATTTCTGTTCTTATAAAATGAATAGCAGGGTAGTTATCAACAGTTTATTAAGTAGTACTTTATTATAACAGGGTAATATAACTACTATAATAGGTAGTTAGGATGTCAGTTTTTCTTTTAGGAACTTATATTTATCATTTATTTTGATACATAAATACCTACAGAGATCTGAAAAGTGATCGTATTGTACTTATTTTGAAAAGTACTTGAGAAGACCATAAATCAACCAAGCTCCAAAATGGAAAGAAAACCAAACAGATCAATTTTCTTCTTTTCTGGAGCATGACTTTATTTTTAGAAAAATGTCATTATCCTATTATTCCAGAGTTTGGATGATTTGTCAGGGAAAAACAGACTGTTTAAGCCACTGGTGTTAACCAGAATATAGATTCTGGGAAGAAGGCAAACAGCCTAACGTGGTCACATCAAGCACATTTCATCCTCTGTATTTCCAATGCACACACGTGCACTCACACATGTGCATACGCGTGCAGCACGCAGGGCCTCTTTGCTAAATGTTTGTTGATGGGATTTTTGACATGCTTACACCCTTGAAAAACCATTTGGTAAATCAATCCAAATGTCCTATAAGGATATAGAGCTTTTATTGAAAGTTAGTCCTTTAAATTTTGGTAGAATTTTGTTCAAATTTAGTTGGAAATCTATAACTAAATTATTTAATTCATTGAGTGTCAAGAAACTTTGGTTTTGAAACTTTTAGTGAATTATGATTATTTTTAAAAGGTTTGCAAACAGGAAGGCATTGAATTTTATCTCTCTAAAAGCAAAGAAGGAACTGGACAAAATAAATATCGAGAGCTCAAATGGCATATCTAAACTTATGTGAAGAATCTTTTATTTGAGTTTCTATGTTTCATTGGACAAATTACTGTTTTGTACTAAAATAGAATAAATTAAAAAGGCCTTTACTTTTGTAGCATCTAAATTTGCAAAACATTCAAAAGAATCATAAATCTAATGAGTTTCTTTTTTATATTAACATTTATCCTAAAAAGGATAATAGAAATGGAGGCAAAAATGCAGTGATGGTAGTGTCTGAGAAAATATTTAGGCTAAAATAATTATACTTTTCAATACAAAAAAAATGTTAAAAGAATGAGGAACTCTTCCATTTAGCAATTTGTTCTGAACACCTGTAGGGTAAATTCTAATTTAAAATATTATAGTTTATAGTGAAGAGTAAAAGTATGCAGGTATGCAAGGCTGGTTCAACATTCAGTTAACGTAGTCCATTCCATCAACAAGCTAAAGAAGAAAAATCACATGATCAATAAATACAGAAAAAGCATTTGACAAAATCCAGCACCCATTCATGATAAAATAAAACAAAACAAACAAAAAATAACCCCACAAAATCCAACTTCTCAGTAAACTAGGAATACAGGGGAACTTCCTCAACTTGATAAATAATATATATAAAAAAACCTACAGCTAATCATACTTATATGGTGAGAAACTAGAAGTTTTACCACTGAGATCAGGAACAAAGCAAGGATATCTCCTTTCACCACTCCCTTTCAACATTGTACTGGAAGTCCTAGCTAATTTGATAAAGCAAGAAAAAGAATTAAGTATATTGATTGGGAAGAAAGAAATAAAACTGTCTTTGTTCACAGATAACTGATTGTCTATGTATAAAATCCAGAACAATCAATAAAAATACTCCTAGAACTATTAAATAATAAACAATTATAGCAAGGTTGAAGAAGACAAGATTAATATATTAATACAAAAATCAAGTGAATTTCCGGGTAATGATATCTAATAGGCTCTTGGCATATAGATATAGAGCCCAAGGATGAGAGAGTTGACAAAATAGAGATTTGTGAATTGTTCGAGCATTAGGAAAAGCCTGAGAACATAGATTTCAAAGGGAGGCCTCATGGCATAAGAAAAGAAGAGAACAAAGTCTGAACGCTGGTGAGCACCAAGTCTCAGTGGTGGCAGAGGGGATAGAAGATGTGGAAAGGGCAGACTGAGCAGCCAGGAACAAAAGCAGGAGAGAGCAGGCTGAGGAAATACAGAGTATCAAGACTAGTCCATCCCATCAAATGCTACAGAGAGTAAATTAAGTGCCCGTTTTGGAACAGCAACTTCCAAAAGTGTTGTATCCCTTTAAGTACTGAGCTCCATCAAACCTCCAGGACTTCGCAGAAATAATACTATATTTATTTGGGAAAATGGCTAATTTATTATAGATGTGTCCATCTATGCTTCTTCTAGTTCATTCATAGGAAAAGAATACAATATTGAAAAGTAGTAAGTGAAAAATGATAACTATGTAGTACAAGTATGAGCTATTTCACTTTCATCAACAATCTTTTAATGACATATATCGCTGACTGAACTGGCTCCTTCTCCTAAGTGACAATTAAGCAGTGCTTCTCACTCCTCCAGCATAGTAATTATGTAGCAAACTTGACAAAACTGCTACTGGTGAGTCACATATAATCCATCAAGAGTTACAGAGGAATTCTCTGAGGAATGTGAATTCACAGCTCCTTTGATATGAATTCTAATGCAATCCTTCTTCAACAATCAACGTTTTTTCTTCAAGCGGAATGATCCAATGTTTTGACAAAGCGATCAGAATTAAACTCTCTCTCTCTCTCTCTCTCACACACACACACACACACACACACACACACACACATACACACGCTCAAAACCTGGACTAACAAGTTGGTGCCATCAAGAGAATAGAATGAGGAAATCAAATGAAAGAGGGGTGCACTAACTTGAAAATAAAAATGGGTTGCAAGGAAAATAAAACCCTAAGACCTCCTAACTTGTAGCAGAGCATATTCTTCTGGCTCCTAAGTAGGTCCAGTGGATCAGCTATGTCAATAGATCCAAGTCTATATGTTCTGATTTATTGTGAATAAAAGTCAAACTAGAAAAAAATAAGAATGAGGGATTTTAGAAGCCCTTGCCCTATGCCTCAGAAACATGACCTTGGGAAGCTCCCCCCACCTCAGTCAAGAATAAATAAAAAAGAAAAGCAAGCTTTTAGGGAGGTGAAATCTATTCGGCAAACCTCAACATTGAAGAGGAATTTAACTTGAACTTGAATTTAATAGGAACTTGAAGGAACATAGATTTCACAAAAGTGATCCCTGGCATATGAGCGTGTAGCCGAAATACATCATTGAGGACTTATGTCTGGTGCTGGCTGTACAAGGAGCGGACATAACATGATGTGCTTTGTAAAAAATAATAGGTCAAGGAGTACATAAAAAAATTGGAATGGAAGCAGAATAAGGAATGATTGATTATCTTATGGAATCCTGTTTCCATAAAGAATTACTAAATGTTGCTATTCTCTCTTTTCCATTCTTTGCCTGCATCAAAGTAATAGAATCACCATCTACCCAATCCTCAAGCTAAAAATCTGAAAGTTACTGATGCTCAGTTACCTGTTATCCTCCCCAGCCATATCCTGTCTTCCACGGCCCTCCCACCCCTCGATTCCAGGCCCCGCAATGTGTTACTACAGTCTATGTGCTCTTCTCCCGGTGTGAGGTGTTCTTTCTCATTCCTGAGCTTTGGCCTGTATTTTTCTCCAATTCTGAGTGTACTTTCCTGTGCTCAATCTTTGTCTACTTTTGGGGCTCTTTCTGGAATAGGCAGCTCAGACCCAGGAGCCAAATTTGCCTCCCCTTGGCACATTTCTGCATATCTCTCTGCCTGAGGGTCACCTCTTCCAGTGTCTTCCAAGAATCCTTATCATTATGGGTGAGCGCCTATACAAGCAGGAGGTGATTCCAGGTGTTTTTGGTCTTCCATAGTCTACCTGTTCATCACCACTGTGATTCTGTCCCTAAGACACTCTAGCAAAGTGACCAGAAATGTGGGTGCCCAGACTCCAACTTGCTCTGGCAGCCTTGACAGAGTTGGTTACCAGGAAGTATAAACTTTTGCTAAGAAGTGGAGCACATTTTGCCAAATCATGAGCCACTGCTGTATAGTAGCTTTGATTTGTTTGCTCTTGCATCCTCATTGCCTGTAACAACATATGCAGTAGATGGCTCTGTAAGTGTCTGTTTAATGAATGAATCATGATGAGTGGAAAGATCTTTAAGCTCTCAAAAACAAATATGGTAACACTACTCTATGTAGAAATGTGCCATAATGATTGCAGCATTTAAAATGAATAGGAAATGGGAGAAGTATTCAATAAATGGTATTAAAATAATTGGGTATTTACTAAAGTTAGATTCTTCATACTGTATAATTTCTATTGGATTTTAAAAAGCTGAATACAAGCCCAAGCAGTGTGTGCTTCTTCACATTTGCAGGGGGAAGAACATAAATGTTCTGGAATTCTCCTTCCTGATTCTGTTTGTTTCTCCACAAGGTCTTGGTCCCTGACACGTGTTCTCTTACACTTTCCTCTCTGACACTGCCTGAAGTTCCAATTCTACCAAGTAACAAGTCTCATAATTTCCAGCCCCTAATTCAATAAATTTCCCCTCTCTGATCACTTCTACCTGCCTGCCTATCTACTGTTCCCTAGTCCTGTTATTTCTGTTGAAGAGATTCCTCAGAGTGGCATCACTGGAACATAGGATCTATGCACTTTAGATTTCAGTAGATAACCATAAGAAGGGCATGTAAAGCACAGTGATGAAGAAAAATCCTCAAGTAAGAGATTGCTATATTTTAGTATAAAATATTTTTAAATGTTGCTATATTAACATACCACAAATAAACATCATATAAGTAAAAGACAAATAAAAGTTGGAGAAAATATCTAAAATTTATCTGAAAGACTGATTCAGTATCTTTACAAAGAACTTTTTTTTTTGAGACAGAGTCTCACTCTGTTGCCCAGGCTAGAGTGCCATGGCGTCAGCCTAGCTCACAGCAACCTCAAACTCCTGGGCTCAAGC